CTCTCTCTTTTGATTGATAATTTTCTCTCATTCTTTTACTTTGCTGCTTTTTAATATATTTTTAGTTATTTTATAGATTATCAGTAATGAAAACTAGAAAACAAGTAGTGTCCAAGCATACTGAAGCAGCACTCTGACTTTGCAGCAGTTCTCTTCTATCCAGTCTGATTAGTGATGAGTGACTGTTCCACTTCTGAGCGTGACGTGGTAGCCACTGGTGCAGTGCATTTTTGAGATAGTGTTCAAGTTACTCTTTTAGTAGCAAAGAGTTCTCTTTGGTCTTGGGGATGATTTGTTGTGTTTACTGGTTGTATTTCCACACCTAGAACAGAAAATATTTTTTAGACATAATTATGGACATTTTATTTAAAATAGAATTCTAGAAGGATGTAGCCTGAGTTTAAAAAAGTCAAGGAAGGAACTGATACTGTAAAAACTGGACAATAGATTGCATTTTAAATTTTGTTTTTATAATTATTTTTTAATTTTTAAAGTGATTTTTTATTTCCCTCCTGAATTTCTGCCTGATTGTTCTTCTTCATTCCCTCCCTTTTGTTTTGTACATTTGAATTCCAGATGAATTTATTCTTGTCTTTGGTCATAGTATTTGAATGTTTGTAGACTTTAGTGCAGGGATTTCAGGATTTCATGTCCTTTGACCCCTGCTTTTGTATTTTTATCTTGTGTTGGGTTTTTGCTTCTTTTTTCTCTGAATTTTTTTTGTCTCAATAGATTTCTAGTAATGTGTTTAACGCTGAATGCAGAAATCCAGACTTAGCAAATTGCTGCAGGAGGAAGGATTGTTGTTTCTTGGCTCACTGGTCTAATACTTCAGTGTGAGCAGTGTGAATTTTATTGGCCAGGTTATTTCAGGTTGCACTGGACAGTGCTGTGTAAAAGGACATCCTTTAATCTAACTGCTAAATCACCTTGTTGTCAGTATCCTGATTAATTCCTCACATGATCCTGTTTCCTATTAAGTGCTGACATCCCTTCTGAACAGTCTCCAGTCCATAAATTAGTAATGAATTCTCTAATATATTGAAAATGCTATTTTTCCCATTCTGTACTCATTAATGAAGGGTATATACTTAGATTATGTGGTTCTTGTGGTTCAGGTGTTTTGTGATGTTACCACTGTGTTTGCTCTTTTACCTTTAATAAAAGTAACATGTAAAGTTATCAGATGCCCTCAAATATTTTTTTATTTGGATGTCCTTTGGCCTGAGTTTTGAGATACTATGTTGTTTCCTGCTGACTAGTTCTGCTCACTCTTGCAGTACTTTCATGATGCAGAATTTAAATATTTGCACTGATGAATATACTGTGTGTGAGAAGAGTCTGTGGGACCTCAGTTTTTACTTGGAGGCATCAAAGGGGGATCCAAGTGCCCTTCTCAACCACCTAATGGGTGGTCATTGAGAACAGGAGCAAGATTTTTCCCAGTTGTGATCAGTGAAAGGAGAGGGGGCACACATCTTATAGAAGGGGAAGTCCCAGAAATCTAAGGAAAAGATTCCTTGCAATGATGGTGGTCAAACATTGGAATAGACATTTAGAACAGTTGTAGGACCTTCATCTTTGGAGATTCTGGGCTTGTGTGGCCAAAACCACCCAACCACTCAAGCACTGTGACCTGAGCAGGGCTTGGAGCAGAGAACTCCCTCAGGTTCCTTCCAGTCTAAACCATTCTGTATATACACACACCTGTATTTTTTTCCTCCCCATTAGATTTTGCATTTGTCTATTAGTCTTGTCCTGTGCTTGCCTCACCTTTGCTGGAAATCTGAATGTTATATATGTCTGTTTTACATCAAGTTTAAGCTGTACTTGGATGCTGACAAACTTCCTGCCATGCAGGCAGGACTCCTAAGATGGCAATGTTACTGTTAGATATCTGAAAAATGAATTCCAGGACACTTAGTTAACATCTACTATAGTCACAAATTACTATATTCACATTCCACCATCATTGTTGAGGTTTTTTTCAATTTACAATTATGTGTCACATGGAATTTATGGGTGTAATTTGTTTTCTGTGAGTTCTTGTGGTCTGCAAGTGCAATATTGTTCAGGCACCTCGTGAACTCTGATCTCCAGGGTTGCAGTGGAGCTGGTGAAGTTCTGCAGTGTGGCAATGTGTCGTTTCAAATAGCACAGAATAAATAAATGTGAAAACTAGTTTCTACGCCCAATTTATTTGAGCTGTTAGAACATCTGGTTTCTCTAAGTTTAGTAGACATGTATTTCCAGTTTAAAATTTAAGCTTTTAAAATTAGCATCTTGCCTTGAAGCATATAATGTGAAAATATGTAAGAGACTACTCAGCAGTTTCCTAAGCAGTCAATAAAAATTGTGCTGTGATTTTTGCCATGGGATCTAAACAAATTTATTGTAAATATCTGTAGAATAAAACTGGAATGATGTAATAACCCAGACTGTCTCAGTTATATGAGAGGTTTTTATTTAGGTATCATCTAGACACTGACCTTTGGAATCTTTGTATTGTCTTTTCCAATATCTCAAATGGCTCTCTTTAAATTAGTTAAAAATAGTTCATTTTAAAGGCTAGTCAGGTCATTACATATAGTGCAAACTATTTCGTTCTGAAAAAATCCATAATATAAATGAAAGTTTCATGTGTTGCTTTCAATGCAATAATTTTTTTATGATTGAAGATTGCAAAAAGCTGGATCAGGTGTAAAGTAACTGAATAATAATAGAAGATATGCTATGCTAAGATGCTTCAGCTTTTCATATGCTGTATTTTATTCCAGTTTATGCTCTTTGATCTAAGAGAATCAGTTTGTAATCATATCTGCTTAAAATCCATCATTGTTTTACTTTCCTTTGAAATAATGTAACTTGATGTTGTCATGTGTATATTGAGTAGCTCTGAACTCATCTTTAGTGGAGTAAGTTCCCAATGGAAATGGACTTGAATGCCTTGGTTCAGTGTTACAGGAATAGCAATAATGTCAGTAATTTCAGAAGTGGTATTTAGCAAGATCTCACTTATCATGGGATCTTGAGTCTAGAAATCTTAGCAGATGATTAATTAAAATTAAAATTCTGATTTAATAGGCTGATATGGGTTTGCTGAAAACAGTGTCCACTTGACTACAAACATAGGTTGGTTGGTTTTTGGTTTTGCAGTTGCTTTTAGTGCTCTCACAGCTCACTCTGTTCTTGTTAAATATCAAACCCCCGTTATATTTTGTGTTACATTTGTGTTCCAGTTAATCCCATATCTTAATTTAGTGGAAAAAAAAAATTTTGCTAGTTTTCATTTTCAGTTTTTCAATGTAATTGCATTCGCCTGTTGTATTTTTTTCCCTCTGAAAATCAGTTATTCCACTCTTTCCTCTCTGTGAATATAGTGAATATTTTTCTTTTTGCAATGCCCTTTCTGAACGGAGTCAGTCAGTTAATGATATTCCTGTTGTTTGTTGGTTAATCTAAAAAAAAGGTTTTGTGCAATACCAAATTACATTTTTATGTATGCTGAGAGGTTACCTGTTCTCTTGTCAACTGCACTAGAGGGAAGGCTTCGATAATATTATTTTTTTTTATATACTTTTGGTTGATGTGATAAGCTTAGCTCAGCAATCTGCCTAGATGTATGGTGATCCCCAAATTAAAGGATCCAAATTTACAGTGTGCCTGCATCAGTTGAAAACACATTTTTTAGAAAAAGTAGGGCTAATTGCATTAAAATTTCATAGTGGCATTTAAGCCAAAAGCTGAAGGTAAAAGTAGTTTATTATGTACATTTACACTGTAGAGCACTGTTTATTAACAGTCTTGGGTTGGTTTTTAAGGAAAAAGTTTTATTCAGCTTTTTGGTTCTGTATAGTTTTTCCAATTTATTTGTTACTGGAATAAAGTAAACGCCAAAATAAATGTTCTCTGGAGTAACAGTTTTCATTTGTCAATACGAATTCACAAAACAGAAATTGTAATTTTATTATTAGAAAAAAGATATTAATCTGTGATTGATTTGTAATTTGCCAACAATTTTGTAACAAGAGAAAGACACATCAAAATAAACATTGAGGAAGTAGTATTTGCTTGGTCAGAAACTCTTTAATTTTTCTATTGGCTGAGTGTAATCTCTTACAAAGAAGCACTCAGGCACTCAAAAGCTGATTTGTGTGCTGCATATGGAGCCTGTTTCATTTCAGCAATACATATCACTGTCCTATATTATTTTTCAAATTTGCTTGAATAACAACCTTGGTTTGCTTTACAATAATATAGGCTGTGACAATTATAATGTATTTTTAGTATTACATTCTGGTGTAAACCCTGAAAAAGTAGCTGTAAATTCTATAGAAAGGTCTGGAATTGATAGATAGTGACTAGGAAGGGGGATATCAGGATTTGGTTCTTGCAATTCTCACTGCCTTGCTGAGTCACACTGGGCAAAAACTCATAGAGCCTTACTTCCATTTCTCCTTTGTAAATTCAGTTAATCCTGGGTTTTCAAAAGGTTAATTTGTGAATAAATATAAAGACTGCTGAGTGAGAAGTACTTTATAAGGAAGCATAGTATTGAAATGCCAGATTCTGAATTACACATCAGTGATCCTATCAGGATGTATTTAAATTCTAATGAAAAAAAAGCTTTCTTATTAAAGACAAAAAAATCAACCACTTGGACTATTTTTATATCTGGCAAATATTCAGTCTAGCAGTTTACAGAATAATTTAGTTTCATAATGTTCTTTCCCGCTGGAAACAGGGCAATATATCAATGACCAGTATTTCAAAGACTTCTGTAGCAAAGGTGTTTGTGAACAAGGTGCTCTTGAATAAGGTAAGAACAGAATTCCAATTGACAGTGAAAGTAGGGTTGTTTTACTCAGATAAGGTCACTGAATGTTAATGGTTTTGAGAACTCTGTTGTACCTCACCTATTAGTTGCAACAGCAGCTGTATTGTCAGTTTGAGAAGACTTTGAGGTAGCTGGAGGAACAATAGCTGTAAAGAAAGTAAGAAGATAGGGTTCCTTTTCTTTCCAACAAGCCCCTCTTTCAGCCCAGGTAACCCTTATCTGGTCCTTTGTGCTGGATCTAACAAAGCTGAAGCTTGTTGACGACAAGTGTAGAAAAGGAGGAATAACTTTGCTCAACCATGCCTATTCTCAACAAATAAATAAACTCTGATTCTTTGGGAGGAATATCCATAAGTTTTGGTGGGTGTACTTGGTAGAATCTTCATTGAGCCTGCGTGCTCAACATGCAATTTAAAGATGTGCAGATAATGTCACAAGAGAGTAGAATGTTGTTCCCTTCTATGAACAAATAGTGCCTGGTTCCCTGAAATCATGTTGAGGTAACTTTTTTTACAAGATAGAAAAGGCAGGAATAGAGAGCACCCCGAGAAAGATTGGTAGTAGATATGGGAAGATTTGAATAATGTGGGATGGACTACTTGTTTACTTTTATACAGAGACAAACAGGAAGAGTCTGAAGGTAATCTCGTGACAAGGACAATCCCTTAAAAAACCATTATCAGTAAAATAGTTAAATTATTCTGGGTATCAGCTATTAACCAAATAATGTGGCTAAGGAATATAAATGGACAAGTTTTTGTAATTTTTCAGACTTGGTATGTTGGTGTGATCTTCCTTTGAAATATATATTGGTTGTGTTTGTCCTTAAGGACAGTAACTATCACCAAGAGCCCCAATGACAATTCTTCAGTTTCTTATTCAGCCTTGATGATTTGTGCATGCAATTCAGCAAATCTGTTAAAATTCATGCAAATTTTATTTTTGCTTTCAAGGTGATGTATGGTTTCTTCTGCTGAAGAAATTAAGGAAATAGTTAAATACCTTTAACAAAATCAAATTAGTGAAAAAATTTCTGTTATGGCTAACCAAAACAAATTTTTTAGGCTTCTTACACACCTAGCAGTCTATTAATAACTTGCAATTGACTGTATACTTGTGCTTCTATTGTAATCTAATTTTCAGTCAAATTTAACCATTTTCAGACAAACTGAACATTAAACAGAAGGAAGAAGGCTATGTAAAAGTCTAATAATAGTTTATGAGCTAAATGAATCTTGTGTTGAGATTTCTAATTCTGCTGTCTGGTTGCAGGAGAGTTTCTGGCATTTATTGTGACTATGGAACAGCAAGGCTGTGTTCTTGTATGTGGGGATCTGAGAAACTTTCTTATTTGAGAATGTCTTTGAATTTTAGGGAGTTGGGTTACATGAGGTTTACTGACATGGACAGGGTCTGTAAGATCAGATACTTGATTAATTCTTTTAAGGCTACATTGTACTGTGTGATGATGGCATATGTGACAACTGAAGAAAATGGTGTTGAGTCCCCTGGGAAATTAACATGTTTAATTGAAGGAAGGACAAATTGATTTAATTTACATGACTGTAATAGACTCTAATGTTAAAATTTGTCTAACTATTGCCTTTTAAAAGTAATGGAAAGGTCCTGAAATGATGTTACAGAAATTCTTGATAATCTTTTTGAGGACGCGTGGGGACCTGGCTTGTACAGAGGATTCTAAAAATATGGAACATCTTTAGAAGGCTGCTTGGGACTTGACTGTGATGTCACTTAAAGCTGATGTAAACTCATAGTAATTTTTCTGTCTATGAAAGTATTAAATGTAAGTTTAGAAATTGTTATTTCAGTGACCATTTGAGCTCTGCTTTCTTGGAATGTACCAAAGAAATGCTCTAAGGTGAAAGTTTGCAGGAACAAGGTCAGGAACAAGGTGCCAAATGATTCCAAAGCACCTTTCTCCCCACTTAAACAGGCCTTCCCCTGCAATCATCAAATTTCATCATTTTCTTTTCTGCAGATGAGTGAGAAAGGATGGATCATTAGTTACAGTGATTCTACCTTTTCACAAAGGCCTGCTTAAGAACAGCAGGATAGATCTATCAGTTAGACAGTTGCTCTCTGCTTATCAAGTCCTGCTGGTAGCAGTGTGTAGCAAACCAGGGTATGGCCCAAACTTTGCTCGTTTTGATTTAGGAACATGGAGGCTTTTCTGTTAATATAACATATTTGTGAGTGATTTAACCATACTATGTTTATATGAGACTTAATGTAAATCATCATAGTAATTGATTGAAGGATACTCTGGAATAACAGCTGTGCTAACAAACCTTAGTATGTGACACACAGCAATCGCAAATGTAGCATCTTACTCATTTTTGCATGATGCATGTGCTTTTCACTTTGTAATGAGTAGTGCAGCATCTCCCAACTTCAGATTTCTAGTTCTGAGGACATTTTTCTTTTCCAAGATACATTTTCATCGAGCTGTGTTCTGTATTCTCAGATTTCTAAGCTCCTTGCCTACGGTGTGGAAGTTTATCCCACTTGGAGGTGGGGCTTTTTCTGCCAGCAGCTATTGAGCTATGAGAGCTGCTGGCTGGCAGAGGCTCTTCCAGGCTTCTTGGCACTGAGCAGGACAGTTCTGTGAAGTCTTGAGAATGTCAAGTTACCCTGGCAGTCATGTCTTTGAAATCCTCTTCTCTGACTTTGAGAGTGGGGCTGCAGCTTGGGGCTTCAAGGGGCAGCATTCCCTGATCTTGGAGCAGAACATTAGTGCTGCAGAAAGGAGGTAAAATGTCAGAAACACAGCTGTGATTTGGCTTCCTCTGATTAGAGGTGCCAGCACAAAACTAATTTTAATCAATGAATTGTTGTTTTCTGATAACCCCTATGTTCAGCTAGAAGTTTCTATCACTTGTGTCTGGAGAGAAAAGTTCCTGAGTATTTAATGGTGTATTGATTTAGATGTTAACCTTGCCATTACCTAATCTAATTTTGGAGATAACTCTAAAACTGTTGAGTACCAGTTGTTGATCTAAACAGTTTATTTTTCTCAGTCTTTTAAAAATAACAGAGATGAGGTTTTCTGTTTTTCAAGGGAATTGTAAAGATGCAAGGTTGATTGCTGATCAAGCTGAGCTGATTAAACTTGTATCCCTCATTTTAGAAGAATCTGCTTTCTTTCTAAGGACAATCATGTCAGCCCAGAGGGAGCCAAAGTGTACGTAGGGATGTTCCAGTGCAGAAACTAATTTGCAGTCATTCTACTGCAATTATGGATGAGTAGAATAGTAAGTCATTTATAGTCCCTTTAAACCTCATGAAGTGGGATGAAGATGAGTGTGGAGTACAATATTATGTGTTTGCATTTCTTTAATTAAGACATGAAATACAAGAAGCATTGGGGGAAAAAAAGAGGACAAAAGTTAAACTTTATGGATGACTTTTAAGCTTGTATAACAAATAAGTCAAAATATGTGCCATAGATATCCATCATAGAATGAGGAAATCAATACATTCAGGCTTAATGACAAAGCACTTGTGTTTGTGCTCTGGAGTTTGACAGTTATAGAAGCTTTGATTTCATGTACAAGATATGCTCTGAGCAAGGGAAGTTTGCATTGCTGCATTGGCTGGTTTGGAAAGGGAGAGCTGGGCTGGGGCTCTGGTCTGACATCCACTCCCACAGCAGTGCTGCTCCTGAGCCACAAAGCTGCCCTTGCCTTTGACTTTCACAGGGTGTGGAATACTTTTGAGGATACTAGCTAGATGAGTAAATATATACTTCAAACGACCATTAGAAGGCAGTCTATTTAAAATATTCTCTAGGTAAGTTTTTCAGATTTTCCTCTACCTTTATCAGAACAACATCTGTTTGATTCCCAGTTTGTTTGATGCTTAGGCATCTGTTCATTGCAGTTGCAGGGATGTAATTTTTGTAGCTTCTGGTGTTGTCTTTGAAGCGTGAGTTGCATAAATAAAGTTAGCTGCCAAAAATAGTTTTTGTTTTCTTCTTAGACAAAGAGGATTTAGATGCTGAAAAAGTCTGATAGCTTCTTTTCTTGCTTGACTTGCATTTCAATGGCATTGTGGGATTTTCTTTTCAGTACTGACAGCTCTTTAGGTGTAACTAAAAGGATAGTTGGTTTGAGAATTTGACTGTTGGCCTTTCCTTTAGCACCTGCCTGTATTCCAGATCTGAGTAAATGCATTAATGATGCTGCATAGTGTTCCAGGTGTCCTTAGCGCTCTCACAGGTATGAAAATATTATGAATTTCTCTGGTCCTATTATAATGTTATATACCATTGTTCATGTGGATACAGCAAATCACATTATTTTTAGCCATCTGTATGGATTTTTGAATTTTGCTTTTTCTAAGGTCAGCATAGTTCTTTAATACAGAAGCAGACACAGACATCTGCCATAGGATTTCACATGTATAGAAATATTGAGAACTAATTTTTGGCATTAAGGTATGAATTGGGATATACAAGAAGCAGATAATTTAGAGAAAAAATAGTCAGTTTTCATTGCTAATGAATTTCCAAATATAATAATCATATTTATTCTCTTTTCCTTTTTTTTTGGTAGCAAATCTGATATGCATTTCCACAGTGAACGCTAGAGAACTAACTAGAGTGATCCAGTTAGTTTTCACTTACTCCTTTAGACAAATTATGGACTTTTTTTGCTCAGCAGCAATAACCTCAGCAGTGACTTACCAGCTAGAAATATTAGCTACATTTTATTTCTGAAAAATTTAGTAGATTTCTTTGGTTTTGACTATCTTCTTAACCATGACTTTCACTTAAGACTTTTAAGTAATATTGTTATTTCAGAATATATTTAGGTCTTTAGCCTTTTTAGAGCTCATTTCTGCTTTGGCCAATAACTAATGTGGAGGTCACTTGCCTTTTTGCTGAAGTCATATTGCATAGTCATCTACATCAGCTTAGAAGTGTGAGTGGATTGCATCTCTTCTTATTCCAGTTTGAGTGAGAGGAGTCTTCTAGAAAAGAATTTTCTCTAAAATTCCTTTTTGTGAAATATGTTGGGAGTCAGTGTTTATAAATCTTCACTGCTGATAATTTTTGGTTTTATTTCTAAAATTGACTTTCTGATGGATTAAGTCCTTCAATGAGTTTTTCGAGTTGTAGTTACAATTTCACAATTGTTTTACTGTTCCTGTTTATTCTGGAAAGATGTTTCTGGAACAAGTAGATGGCTCCTACCACCAAGCTAGCTGAGAATGGGAATTGAAAATCCTATGAAGCACAGAGGCATCATTCTGAACAAATTTGTTTTCAAGATTTTACTATAAAATTAAAAATGCTTTCTGGAAAATCATATGACTTACTAAAAAGAACTCTTACTAGTGCTCTAATTCATCTTCTTGTTTTGTTTCAACTAACTAGACCAGACAGCAACTTTCTTATTTTTCTACACTTGTGATAACTCATGCAGATTGATAATGTAAGTAAAATCAGAGATTCCACTTTTGTATGGGTTTTGGAATAGATTTAGAATAATCTATTATTGAAGCTGTGTAACAATAACTTCTTTCTATCAACACTTAAAATAATTATCTACAAAGATGCATTTGAGCTTAGCAATTGAATTGGACTCCCATCATTTATATATATATGCAGATATATCCAGTGGTCTGGCAAATGTGGTTTAATTTTTTCACAGTGGATTGTGGTGCTGCTGACAATCTTCAAGAAGCTCATTTCTTCAGGTACTCTGACATGGCTTGAACAGAGCAGTGCAGCTCAGAGGCCTTCCTCTGAAACATTGAATCATTTGCTATGCTGTATAGATGTGGTAAGCACAGTTTGTTCTAGGTGCCCTTGGGTTTTGTGCTTTTTAAAACATTTTTTTTTAATGTTTTCATTGTGTATCTCTATAGGGTGAGTTCTTTGTTGGATTCTCTGTGAAGATAAAGTATTTGATATGATTCAAGATGAGATGAATGAAGAAAGAAAGAAATAAGAATCTGTTTTGCAGGCATATTTAAATTCCTAATTTATGACTGTTTCCATTGCACTCAGCTGATTGTGGATTGGATCAATAGACTGCAATAGTGATCAATATCTGCAAGACCATGTTATTGGTCAGTTCAGATAAAATAGTTCTGGCTCCAAATAATTAATAGATGTAAGAAAAAAATCCTGTCCTCACCTTGCTTGTTCTTCCTTGTCTCCTGCCTGATCTGTTAACATTGTTGTTTTTTGATCTAAAGGTTGGGAAACTTGGTATTTCAATGCTTGATTTATAATCTGCCCCTAGAAATTTTCTCACTATTTTCTTCAACATCAAAAGTTTCTTTATGTCTATAATGTTGGAGTGAGATATGCTCAAATTTCACTTTGGAAATCTCCTGATTTTATAATAAAAATATAGACTTTCAGACTACAAAATTGACTCTGTATTTTTCATTCCAAAATTTGCAAACTTTCTTGCACAATTTAACAATATGGTGACCTTATAGAGCTTATAGAGGTCTTCTTCAGAGCTGAAAGGTACTGTAGATTTGTACCTGCTGATACTAATTTACTTTTCTTATTGTCCCTATCAGAGTTATTCTAGAAGTGTTTTAGTCAATCGTCCAGCAATCTGGTGGATTTTGATGCTATGTTTAGTTGTGCCAAGGTCTTAATTTGATATCTCTTTGTATTTAGGCCTACATTTTGTCCCCCTTTTATTTTTACTTTTATCAGTTTGCCTTGTCACAGGATGTTATTCTGGTGAATTGTTTGTCTTAGTTTCTACAAATAATTATTCTGGTGAATTTAGTTTGTCTTAATTTCTGTAGAGTGGTTCTGAATCCCTGAAAATGTTCCTTTGTGTGGACTATAACCTTATGTAATTCTCAGTAATGGTTAAAACTCCTCTCATTATGATGAAACACTTTCACTCTGCAGTAATAAGCACACCAAATGCAAATTCCGTTTTTCACTTTATTGCAGGATATTTTTTGTGCACCTGTGACAATGCAAAAGTCTGCTTTCTTGTAATTTCCTCCTTTCCTTCTAAGTTTTTGGGAAGTTTTGTACAGAAGGGCTGAAACTGGAGTGGGACAACTTTGGATAAAACCTTTCTCCTGCTAGTAGTCACTTTCCATTATCTGTTATTGGGGAAATAGCATACTCCACATGGAAGAAAGCTCCAGGGTACTGATGAGGATCATGTGGAGTCACCTACATTTGTCTGCATAGAGCTGAGCTTTATTTAGAATGGTTAATGCTGATCAGGAGCTAACAAAGCTCCTGACTCCCTGCCAGCTCCATGCACAATTACCCTGGTCCCTGGAGTGTGGTGCTGAGGCACTGCAGCTGACTGGTAATGCAGCATCATGCCAGAATTAACCCTGCTGAGCCAGCTCCAATGTTTTCCCCATCTGTAGTCTGCTTATTTTCTACCCTAAAAAATCTGCTAACAACTGAAAGCTGAATGTAGTCATCAAAGTGACCACATGAAAGTCTATTGTTTATAAGACTAAAAGGAGCCAATTCTGATTTTGTGTCTTAGGAAGTTTCACAAAGCGCTCTTTACTAATTACAGTAATCTACAGATGCAGAAATCTCCTCCTGCTCATTTTTCCCTGGCTGCCAGGTCAGCTCTCCATAAATGCTGATGCACATCTAGCTTTCTCCCAGCTGTTTGCCTACAAATTGCAAATCAATATTTGATTGTCAGCCAATTGCCTTTTCTGGACTTGGTTGAAGTAAAGAATTTTTTCTTTTACAAATAATATATGTACAAATAATTATTTATTTACAGACAATAAATGGCATTTCTTGGAAATAAGAAATTCTATTTATTATTTGTAATAATAATGGCTGTTTCTCCTTGCCACTCTGGATCACATGCCAACACAGACTTCTGTAACTTGGTCTAATGCAGAGAATGAGCCTTCTCCATGAGAATCTCCTCACAGATAAGTGTGCATTGTCTGAAAGAAACCAGGCTTGGTGCATGTTGGCTCCAACAGCTTCATGGTTGGTACATCAGAGACACAGTGTCTATGGAAAAGGTTGATCTTGCTCACATCTCCATTCCTCTGCAATTTAAATTCAGGTGTCTGGGTTGCTGAAGGAAAAAATCAGATAATTAATCTGAAAAAAGGAGTATCATATAGATTCACAAAGTTTATCCTAGCATCTGTTTTTCAATTAACAATGAGAAACGCCTCATAACTTTTAAACAAAATATCTGAAATTTAGGAACCTGGATATGTATATGAAAGATGTAACTATTTAGACAAAGAAATTTGCATAATGAGTTGGCATTTGTAACAAAATGTTTTGAACTTGATGTAATAGCTGTAGTAATAAAAAAAAATATTCCAATAGTTATAAGAATGTGATCTGGATGTCATATCTTCTTTAGGAAAGCATATGAAATCTCATAGTTAAAAATCAAATTCAGCACATTTTTAAAATCAGGGTTTTGAAAACTAGAGTTTTGCAATTGATGTGTTTTGATGTGTTTTGTTTTATACACCAGTCACTGTCAGGTCCTTTAACAGGACCTGTTTCCCCTTTTTATGTCAGTTCAGACCAGCTGGTAAGGCCAGTAAAAGTGTTCAATGATACCCCTTTTGAGGCTGGTGCCCTGAGAGTCTTTCAGGTATTTGTCTAACAAAATTACCCATGTCCATGAGACTGTGCTAAAGTATGTCCTAATTTAAGGTCTTTGTCTTCTTAGAATTAACATAAAAAGATCCTGTTTCATTCTGAATAGGGGTAACTAATTAGTTACAGGTACTTCTGTTTATCTGGCTTCTAAAAATAGTATTTTTCATATTATATATAATTTATATAATAATATTGTTGTTTCAATACAGTAAAAACCACTGAATGATAAGCATTGTTCTGTTTATCTTGAACCATAATTCAACTCTGTTTCTTAGAAATTCAGAACTATCTTATTCCTGTAAAAAGCATAATGTTTTATACGTGTTTGCATTTTGAATGTACGTGTAATTTTGAAAGTAAAAGTATTTTTTTAGTTGTTGGAAATAGAACCATATGATGATAAAAAGTGAAAAACTCAATTTGATTTCTCAAGAGAAATGCTTCTTCACTAGACACATAAATTGACACCATATATCTAAGTTTCTTCGGGGAAATTATTGGTGCTGTCTTAACTGAATGGTTGAATGCTTAGTTGATTTTTTAAAGAATGAAATAAAGTTTCTCAGTTGTAATCAATCATTTGAAAGAATTACTTATAAATGCTCTGGTTCTATAGACATCCGCAAAGTAACTGTTCTTGCTGTTTTAAAATATGCTTGAAAATTGATATTGATAGTCCAAAAGTATAAAAGTGATGCCTGTTAAACCCTAGGATCATAGACATGTTTTACATGTTTTCTTTTTTCAGAAGACACACTGAATGGTTTCGGACTGCATGACTCCAGTTGAGAATCATTGCTTTATTTCACTAGATTTTCCTGGGTTCTAAAAGGATGGAAACTAAGCAGCACCTCTGGCTCTTAATTGCTCGAATCATTCATGCATTAAACAATGCACATGCAAAGCAATTAAATGCTGTCAGTGTGAAGTCTGTTTATACAGTTTTGTTGTAAGACCTTGAGAAGAACTTAAAATAGCAATATCTAATAATAGAGAATGTATAATAGAAAGACTTAATAGTGTGGAACAATTCTTTCTGCAGAGGGTTTTGCAGAAGACACACAGACTGTCTCTTAGTGCCTAAGGTACTGATGTTGCTGAAGACCCATCTGGAACTCGGGGTCGCTTTTTGCGGGCACGCCTTTACTCAGAGCGGAACCCTTGGTGCGGCAGGAGCGCCTGTGCTGCCCGAGGTCTTGGCATCCAGCTGTTCCCAGCTGTGGCCCTTGAGCTGCCCCAACAGCGATGGGATGTGATTCCCAGGGCCTAGGGCAGGTGCCCAGGGGGGTTCCCAGCAGAGCTGCCCTGCAGCCCAGGCAGGGCCAGGATTTGGGGACATCAGGGCTGCCCCTGTCCCTGCCCTGCCCCTGTCCCTGCCCTGCTGATGCTCAGCCGCGGGACAAAAACCCCGCGCTCGGGGGCACAATTCAGTGATTGACAAAAGCCTTCAGTCTGGGAAATGCTTCCATCTGTAGCACAAATTGTCACTGCAATGCCATCTGCATCCCTTCTTTCTTACTCCTGCAGAACCCTCACCTCATTGTTTGTATTTTATAGCTATTTGAGATGTGCACAGTCAATAAAGTAAATTTATTGCCATCTCTTATGTTAAAATTAAACAGAGAAAGGTTTATAAAATTAGGAAATACGGAGTCAGGCTTGGAGGTTTTTCTAACTTGTTTCTGAGTAGGAGGAAACAAGTGTATTTTGCCAAGTATCTTTAATTGTAAAAATGTTAACAGTAGGTCATTCTGATACTTGTGCATGCAGGGAAAGAAAATAAGATATTATTTTCCTGTTACAAATGGGTGAATCATTGGGATTTAAAATATTTAACCATTTAATTTTCAATCTGCTGACTTTAACAATGATAGAAATTTTTGGCTTGACGCTGTGCAGAGATAGTTTATTTCAATCTTCTATTTACATGATGATCTCATGCTATAAAGAAAGGGAGCAGGAATGAAAAAGGAGAAAGAAGGATGCAAGTTCACTTAGAGAAAGGGCTTGCTTTGCTTATTGTGTTACTGCTGTGGATGGTAGCACTCAGGTTAGATGAGGAAGAAATTTTAGTTTAAGAAATGACATTGTTAGCTAGAACCCAAATAATTGATTAATTTCTGCAACATAGCTTGCACATGTCTCTGCATATGTGTTCAAAATGAGTAAAAAATGTTTGTGACTTTATATTCAGTTTTACTTCTATCATATGAAATGCAAAATTTCCTCTTTGGGCTGGAATGCTATCCAGCTTCCTTGACAATATTCCTTGTCGCATTATCTGAATTCTGTGCTGCCAGTAAGGGTGAGTTGTTTTGCTGGATTGCACAATTTCAGGGAATAGTTATAGCTTCTCTTCAAAACCGTCAACCATTTCAAATTACAGTATCCATTATCAGGAAAATAAGCTTTCTAGCTTGCACTTCTTTCATGAATGTTTAGTCTTGTCCAGTTGCAGGGATGTCAGTGAACTGGTCCTTTGATGTAATAAACCAAGCTTGTGTTCCTAGAC